TTCTCATGAATTGTGCTCTGGACAACATAATGCAAAATGGAATATTTAAGAGCAAACTCTTTTTATATATTTCATACTCTAACCCTTAAAAGAATCAGTTACTCTAAATTTTCTGTGATCTCTTAATACAAAAGTCTGTAATCAACAGACTGGAATGTACAATACAGACTGAAATACAGACGTTCAGAAGAGAAATCAAAAGAGCTAAAGACAAGCAACAACAAAAAAAGATAGAAAACAATGCTATTATGATAAATCATTACAAATTCACATCCATAGAGTGCTTTAAAATAATAAGAACCCAATCTATTATAGACACATGAATTATTTTTCCTAGGGAAAAACAGAAAATAAAGTAGGTTCATATTCTAAATTTATCAATACTACGGTCACCCACTCCCATTAGTTTGTTCTTGTTTCTTGGTTTGTTTTCTTTTTTAAACTATTCTTCAGTTGCCTTGCAAAATTCTATAACAGGGTAGATTCCATTTGAGTCCAGAGTCTTTAAGGAGTCCTGGGTGATAGGTTACACTACCAATATGGATAAATTATTTTGTAGATGGTCCATATTACATTTCTTTTTCTTTTTTTTTTTTGGTGAGGCAATTGGGGTTAAGTGACTTGCCCAGAGTCAAACAGCAAGTGAGTGTTATGTTTCTGAGGCCACATTTGAACTCAGGTCCTCCTGACTCCAGGGCCGGTGCTCTATCCACTGCGCCACCTAGCTGCCCTCCATATTATATTTCAAATACTGCTCTCTGTACTTTGGGGAGTAGCAAAAAACTGGAAACAAAGCAGATACTCATCTATTAGAGATGGTAAACAATAGATAAACAATGTAGTACATAAATAAAATGAAATATTACTTGGCTACTAGAAACAATGAATATGAATAATAGAGAAGAATGGAAAGATTTATATGAATTATCGTGAAGTGAAGTAAGCAAAGCGAAAGCAATGTATACACTGACTACAACAATGGAAATGTAAAGAATAAAAAATACTGAAACAGAACACTGTGTAATTATAAAGATCAAGTCTGATCTCTCCCCCACAGCCCCCAAATAAATAAGAAAAGGTACTTTTCTCCCTTGTTCATAGAGGTGGAGCACTACAGATATAGAACACTGCATGTACCGTTAGACTTGGTTGATATATTGATTAGTTTGTTTTACTGCTCTTTTGCAGTCTTTGTTCAAAGAGATGGTTTTCTCTACTACCTGATAGAGAAGGGAAGGAAGGACATGTTGGGAATTGAAGATGATATGAAAACAAAAGATATCCAAAAAATTGAAAAATAAAATGTTACTGTCTTTTGGTAAATGGAAAAAATAAGAGGACAAATATATAGGCCATTATAAAATTAATTTCTTCTGGTACTCTTGTAGTCCTTATAGCCAACCTACATTTTTTTTTAATCTGACGGTCTACTTATTGAATTATTTTATAAAGGCCTATATAAATTATACTAAAGTAAAACCTAACTACATCAAAAGAAGAGGGCAAATAAAATTGCAAAATGCGCTTTTAAAAATTAAAAATTCTAAAAGACTGAATTTTAAAATCATTTTTACTACTTCCAATTTATTTTCAAAGTTATAAATGAACATTTAAATTGAACCATATTGGGGCAGCTACATGGTGCAGTGGATAGAGCACCAGCCCTGGATTCAGGAGGACCTGAGTTCAAATCCGACCTCAGACACATAACACTTACTAGCTGTGTGACCCTGGGCAAGTCACTTAACTCCACTGCCCAACCCCCCCCCAAAAAATTGAACCATATTAATTAAAAAATATAATTCAAGATAAGCCTACATCACACAATAAAGAATCAAAAGTAACAGGAGAATTGTTTGACCTGGGACCAACAGCACTATTTGGCCAACTAAGAATCACATAGATATGTGTAAAATATTGCAAAATAAAAGCTATCAGTATTTGAATTAATGGGCTTTTATTATAATGCTATTTCTCCCCAAAATTTAGGCTATATTCTTCGTGTAAATAATTAAAAGCCTATAGAAGCAGTATTATTATATATAATATCTATATTAAGAGGCAGGCTGGCCTCCTGTAAACAGAGGTCTGGCCTTGGAACCCGAGAAACCTAGATTCAATTCCTACCTCTGACATATATCAGCTATCTGACCATCAGCAAGTCACTCTATTTCTCAGTACTGCATGCACCTCTCTAAGACTAAATTATAGACAAGTTACCCATCTATAATGGTAAAATTGTCAGCAATGGGAATTCCTGACTGACAAAACCACACAAGTGGGCTCATCTTCAAACACACACACACACACACACAATTTTGTCCTACAGTTAATGCTGTATAAATTACTTTTCCCAAGGATAAATGCTATTACAACTAGAATCTAACTATTGTAATCTAAGGAACTAGACTTAACTATTTTTTGTCCCCAGAGTAATCCTAAAAAGAGATTAAAAACAATAACAATATATTCCAGGATAATTTAAGAAATTAAGCCTGACAAACATAATTTTGTTAATAATGTTACAGTATTCCAATAAAAACAGCAATTTCCTAAATTATGAATGTGGAACTATCTTTAGTTTTTTTAAAAAATTTAAACAGCCTTCTCAGTTAACATAATCTGAACTTAAATTACTCATGTTATATAATATATATACTCTTCCTGGCTAGAATGAATGGAAGTTAGAATTCTTGAAACCTAATCCTGTTACCTCTGACAAAGGATCACTTAATTCCAATTTATTACTTCTTCCTGAATAAAAGAAAAGTAACTAACATTTCACATTGGTGCTACAAAAACTAATAAAGCACTTAAAAATAAAACTAAGTGAGAAAATTTACCATTTATATATATATATATAAATATATATTTATATATATATATATATATATAAATAAAAATGCTGGTTTTCTATATGTACCTTTTTTAGCCTTTTCCTGCTTCAGATATACTCCTCAAGCATGATTAAAGTAATTTGCATTTACTTTGATAGATGTTGGGAATTGTTTGGTAAACTACGCATGTTCTAGCTTTTCCTTGGAGAGCCTCATATACTCGAGATATTGAATTGCCTTTCAATGAAAACTCAGAAGTTGAGAACAAATAATATGGAGTAAAAGCACTGACTGTATTATTATTCAAATTCTTAGAAAATCACATTTGAAGATATTATTAAAGAATGGCATCTATAAAAATTATGGCTATATGCAAAGATAAGCTTTACAAGGTACCACATTTCATAAGTACTTCTAAAATATGAGAAGTAGTTATCAGTATGGCACGATGCAAGAGTTCATTTCAAAAATTAAAAAATGTTCAGCATCAAATATGGAGAATTCTTCTCTATAAACTGGTAAAGTTATGCCATCATCTATACATAGCCTCAAATCTGAAAAAGGCCCAAGAGATTATTTAATTCAACTCATGTCACTTTAGAGATTAAGAAACAAAGGTCAGGAGAAGTTAATGGATTTGCCCAAGATCACTCAGCTAAGTTAGTCAGAACTGCAATTAGCACCCACACCCAAGTATCTCAAATCTCTTGGCCCACAGCTCTTTAGACAATATAAGAATGCCCATAAAACCACACACACACATACACATTTAAATTTCTAATGTTAGGTTTTAACACATAAAGCAAAAAATTTTATTAAAAAATAAAAAGCTATACATTTTTTCCTGCCTCATAAGTTTAAATAAAGTTAATCAGTCCCAATTTTTTTTAACTGATATCCAGCACCTACAAGAATCTGAAATAATAATAATTACTCATTTTTAATGGCCCACTAGTGTGTGCAGATTAAAAGCAAGTTTGCATATTAAAAATATTTTGATCCAAATTTAAAGATGAACTGACAAAGAAAAAGGCTAATATTTCCTACCACATAAACCTGAAAAACAATTTTTAAAAAATCATATTTGACTTAAAAAATAAATTTTGTCATGCCATTCTTACACATGGAAATGGATAGAGTGAGGTAACTCGATCTATTTTTATAAGAGCTTCACAGAAAAATCTAAAGTAATAAGAAAATATACATTACCTCACATTTATAAATCCCACTGGAAAGTTGACCAACTCAAGAGTTCAAAGTGAAGAGTAAGAATTTGAGTTACTATATATTTTAAGTCTATTTATCCAAAAACGTCACTATAGACACTAGAATTTTGATAAACAGAAGCAGATAAATAACTACATGCAGCAACTAAATTACATTGATAGTTCCTTTAAGACCCAAAAATCACACAAAAATATAAGTCACACCCAACTGCTATTTCTGCTGAATAAATAAAAACTGAGTTTTGGCAAATCTGTCAAATAATACTTTGATAAACAAATGACAGAAGAGGTTTCAGGTCCGTATCTGTTATTCATCGGGAGAGAAGGGGAGGCATCTTTAGAACAGCACTGATTTCCATGCTTTTGGGAAAAGAGAAAAAAAAAACTAGGGGTAAATGGTATTTTCAATTAGTTAACCAAATTCATTGAAAAAATAATAAAGTAATTTCTGGTTGATTATTTTTAAAGTTCTGAGGATGTCCATACAGAAATCTCTAAACATTTCTTAAAACATATTCTTTAGAGAGTAAGAGTCAAAATTCCTATCAGTTTACTTCTTTTTTTATAGTTTATGAAGTTACCCAAACTGCTAAAAGTCAATTATATTCACTTCTTCAATCATTCTTTTCTAAGTCAATTTCATACAAACTATAAGGAAAAGAATCAGTTACATATCTGTAAATGTTTATAATTTTAAGCTTAAAGTTCTAAATCTCAAAATAAAAAAGATTATACAATTTCATCATTTAAGCTGTCAGAAAACATACCAAGACTTATCATTTTGCTCCACCAAAATCACTACTGCTTTACCTATGTTAAGGTGACTTGAAATTTAATTGAATGTAAATAAAATGAACATTAAAAAAAAAAACCCATGAAATTAAACAATGTTTAAAGCAAAGTATAAAATGAGTAGAGATTGGGAAAACATACTTACTGTAAAAATGTTCTAAATTCTAAAGGTTCGAAGTTTTCCACAGCAATAGGAACATGGTTCTCCCAATTATTTAATGTTTTTCCAATAGTGTGAAAATAGAAGTCTGGAACCCTTGCTAAAAGCACAGCTTTGTGAGCTTTGAACAACGCAGGACCTATACAAAAAGTGACATCTGTATGGATTTCTTCTCTTAGAAGCCTGTTAAGGATAGGAATCACAATTCGATTACTTTTAAAATTTAACATGCCAAATATTGGTCTTGTTTTTCTTTCATAAAAGACAACAGGTAAATTCATTTTCAACCTAACACATAAAAATATATTCATCCAAAGAGGAGCTATTTCTATCTAATTCAGCTGTAGAAACTTGGCACAATCTTTCCATGGAAATGAAATTTTCATCTTAGAATATACAAAGATGATTCCACTAAAATAACAGGTAGGGAATTCCTAAAAGGAGTATTTTATGTTTAAATTTTTTGCTAGATGAGTGTCATCAGTCACATATAATACTGACATTCTCTGCTTAATTTTAAATTCCCTCTGTTAACTCTAAATTTTGCACTCCTGATAAGAATTTAAGTGCAACTTCTTAAAGGTTTCTATCTAAAAACAGAGTGCTAACATAGTAATAATAACAATAATATACAGCTAAAGTCACACTGAAATTGAAAAAGAAAAAAGCAGTAAAGTCAAATGCAAAAAACACAGGTCTTTAAAGGTCCAATGGTTTAAATAAGATTATAAATAATATGGCTTAATATAGAAAAACTGACTCAATGAGTTTTCCAGATTTAAAAGTCTGACTCTTAATCATCAAAAACTGTCTGAAATTAAAGACATTAAGAAGAATCCAACAACAATACTAAGTCTTATGCTTTTCCTTTGCCCCAGAAGTGCCACTGTGATGTTTTTACCTACTACTGAAAACAGATGTAATTATAAGTTAGCCTCACTGCAAAAGTGTTTTGCCATTTCTCAGGTGTGGTTATACTGAGGATCAAATAATTATTCTGCTGTACAATCAATATCTAAGTCTAAAACTAGTAGTACAATAGAGTCATCCTATATCAGTGTCTCAAACTTTTATCTCACATCTTACAATAGGTGATCAATAAATAAATATCTGTTGAATAAATTCACTACATAAATACCAAATAACCTTCATAGCACTATGTTCATACCATGAGACTGAATATTCTCAATGGACTTCTGTACTGCCATAATGCAAGGTACCAATCATACTAGTAAAAAATATAGCGACAACTGGAGAATTCATTATCACTGAAACCTATTTGTTACTTTATAAACAGGATAAATACTTTTTATGTAAGCTTTTGCAACACTCTGTCAAAACTACTGTTAGAAGCTTCTTCTATAGTATTACATATTCTGATTACTCAGTAAATCACACAAAACTTTTCAAATATTCCATTTACTTTCTCAGGGACAAAAGGCTATGTTGTTGTTTCTGACTCTTTATGGGGTTTTCTTGGCAGAGATCCTAAAGGGGTTTGCCCATTTCCTTCTCCACTCATTTGACAAGTGAGGAAGCTGAGGCAAACAGGGAGAAGCGACTCGCCGAGGGTCACCCAGCTAGTAAGTGTCTGAGGCCCCATTTGAACTCAGGTGGGCGAGTCTTCCCCGCTCCGGCCCAGTGGCCTGTGCACTATGGCGCCACCTAGCGGCCCTTGGACAAAAGCATCTTCACTGCTTTCTGAGCCGGTGGGAAAATCAGAGCTAGGACAGGTGTACACACTGCGGTTTTACTTTTAAAAACCCGCTTCTGGGCTGATTTCGCCTTGAGACCTTTCTGCCCTTCGTGTCCCCACAGGGGGCCTCTTACAGTCTAGCCCTCGGGGCCCGCCCCGCGCTGCACCGCACCCGCCCGGAGCGAGCACTGCAGGTAACGAGACGGGCGGAGGAGCGAGATGCTGCAGCCGGGCACGCGCTGGGGCACGCTAACAATCTGCCGGGGGAGCCCCGCCGGTCTAAGGGTCGTGGCCGCCCGTACCCCCCCCCCGGACCTGGAGAGTGATCTCGTGCTCCCCCCGCGCCCGGGGAAGCCCCCGACGCAGCGCCGTCTGTAAATGGGGCGATGACAGCACCTTCCCCCGAGGGGGCGAGCACAAAGGAAGCCCTAGAAAGCATCGTGCGGGCGCGGGCCGTTCTGCGTCGCCCGCGTGGGAGCCGCACGAAAAACTCGCTGTGACTCAGAACGGTTCTACACGCGAGCCTTTGTCGGGTCATTCTGTCGCTTTCCCCAATGGCCGGATTCTCAGGATCACGGCCCTACACCTGAAGCAGCAGCGAATTAAGTCGCTTTTCTCCAGCTAACCCATCACCACCGGGCTCACGCTCGGGAAGGACGGAGCCCCCCCAACCCGAGGCCCCGGACTGCCCTTTAACCCCCGCCCAGGGCCGGGGTCCGAGTCGCCCGGCCGTGGGGGAGGGGCCGGAGCCGGGGGTGCGCCTGCGCATGCTCCGGGCCGCAGAGGGCCCACCCCGCCCCCATGGCCTCCTACCTGAGGAGATCTTGGCTCAGCTGTTCCGACACCATGGCCCGCAGCCGGCGACGCTCGGCCACCCCCTTCTTGCAGGCCCCCGGGGGGCCCTGTGGGCCCCCGCCGCTCGCCCCGCACCGCGCCATGACTCCAGGCTGGGCGTCGCGAGCCCGAGCCGCGCGCCGGCTCCCAGGCCACCTGAGGAAAGGGGGCGTTTCCGGTCAAACCCCCGGGTGCTTCTGCCCGGGCGGTGTGAACGCTCCCTAAAACCAGCGAGGGAAGGAGCCAGCTGGGTTGCTTTGTAGACGGTCCCTTACTTCTAGCGGCCCGGTGAGGAACCTCGCGGCCCAAGTGTTCGGTGGACAGCGGCCTCACGTGATTCTCCCCTCGGGCCGTGCTGGCGCAAGCGTATTCACTTTGTTTACCTTCGCCTGGGAGCGCCCCGGGCTCGGGGTGGGAGCCGAGCGGAGGCGTCTCCCTATTGGTCGGCGTGTAAATCGTTTCCGTTAGCGAGCCAGTGAGGCGCGTGCCTCGGAGCTGTTTGCCCCGCCCCCCGGGGCGAGAGGCGGAGTCTGCACGTGCTGTGTCCCGCGGGCGGGATGCGGCGGATACCACGGAGTTCTGCTGGACCTCCAGTAGTGACTCGTAAAGCTGGGGTGTAGGGGAAAAAAATAAAGCAGGGGATCCCCGAATGTAAGCGCGCGGCCCACCCCAGCCCCGTAATGCGTTCCCATCCTCACCATCCCCGAGAATCACTCCTACCCTACCTGCCCTTCCCAGGTACATGAGGAGTATCAAAGTCCAGAAAGGTTTGTAAGGAAGTGGGAAAGCAAGGGGACGGGAAAGCTACGTAGCCAATGGATGTCACTGAAAGAGTGCAGTGTTTTTAACGGGCAACTGCAGGGTCAGGTGGATAAAGACTGTCCTTCCTGACTTCAAATCCGGCCTCAGACACTAGCTGTGTGACCCTGGGCAAGTCACTTCACCTTGTCTGCCTCCAGTGTCTCTGCCAAAACCCCAGATGGGGCCGCAGGGGCGACTCAACAACAGCAAATGTGTGTAATCTGTTGACTTCCCCAGTGGAAAAGGACAGTGAAGGAGAAAAAAAGATATGGTTCCTTCACCAACACATCTGAAACTTGCACAGCTTCATAACCAAGGAAACCGGGGTTAAGGACTTTCTCCTCTTAAAATGGCCAAGAAAAGATTCCTAACCCTCCCTCCCCCACACACACAACCGCCTAGTTAATCCTGGTCTGTGATAATCAAAGAAGTACCAGGCAAATAAAAACATAAGCCCCATAATGTCAGTCAGCTTAGTCTAAGGGTAGTTTCACATATGTCTTTATATCCCCAGGGTCTAGCACATAGTAGGAACTTAACAAATCTTTGTTCACTGACCGACAGTACAAAATATCAGATGATCCAAAAACATTTATAATTGGTTTTGGAATGAATTGAAAACATTATACCCAAATGGGCATTTAACAGGAAAAGTACTTTCAACATTGTTAAGTAATAAAAATGGCAAGGATACAAATGAAGGTCGAAAATGCAAAACTTGAACTATGATACCCATTCAGATTTTAGCTTAGTTTACTTGCAAATACCTTTGGAATATCTTATGCTTCAAATTGAAAATAAAGTTCAAAGCTATTTTAAGTATATGAAAGAAAAAAGCATAACGAGTCGTGATGGGATCTTAATGTATTAACCAATCTACAATAAACCTTAAAGATAGAATCCTACCCAACCCTACTCGTGTTGCCTTCAGCCTGTTTTCCTATCAACTAATGAAGAAGCAACTGAGGATTAAATAGCAGAATGGAATCTTGAGAGTGGGGTTAATTTCTATGACCAGAACTGACCTCCTTTTTAGGCAAAGCAAGTCACTACTCAAGCAGGGTAAGTTGAGGTGAGAAAGCAGGACAAATACCTTGGTGGGGTGGGGAGAATCTTCCCCCAGGGACCTATCTAAAATTATACCACTGAGATTCACTCCTTTGTCTTTAGGTTTTATCCTCTATCCTTGTTATTGACACAATCTTAAATGTAAATGATTTTGTCAGATTATTAGACTGGAAGGGAGAGAAATCTTAAAGGCATTGTGTACTTGAAATGAAGGAGATGGAGCCAAGAGTTTAATGGAATGAGGAGAAAGCTGAAGACAAAGGATGCTGTCTCCTACTTCAGTTTGTCCTGACCTAGGGCCTAATCTTTGTGTGGCTTTCATGACACTCATGGATCAAATTGAAAGACAAATACCCCTTTAAAGAATGCTACTCCCATAATCTGGCTTCTTAAGAGATATGCTAATTGAATTTTCATTTAAGTGTAGAAGAACTTCTGTATAACCTTTTGAGTAGGCACCATCTGTTAACTTGTTTTTAGCAGTCCTCTCACTTCTGACAGTTCTGTTTTTGGGGAATTGATGAAATTCAGATTTAGTATAAACTTCTTCACTGGAATTTATGAGCTATGAAATTGGCTGTTGAACCTTGTACAATGACTTCTTTTCCAAAGCAGTTTTGACTGTCATCTTCCCAATTCTTCTAAAATAAATGAAAATAAACAAAGCCTTTTTATCAGTTCAATACATATGCTTGTTTCTTGAACTCTTGTATTATTTGCAGTAACTTCATTGGTAATGGCAGATTAGGCAAGTATTGTCCTTATTGGTACACAAGGCAGATCCTTTGTAAACCAAAGTCAAAGTTTTTGTTCCTGTCATTTAGTAGTGACAGGAGGCAGCCTCATATGGTATAAGCTCATTGAAACAATATCTTTCTGTTTTTATTTTATGCTGTGAAGTAGAAAATTTGTGTCAGTCTGGACTAGAGAGGTAAAGGAGACATGTCCACTAAAGCCCCTCTGGCTTGAAGAATACTGGGGTGGTTCTTAATATAAGATATAATAATCTTAAAATAACTCTGCCAATATGTGGGGGGTATGGTTAAGGTGCTTCAGTGTATAAGAATGTTCTTCCCCTCAGATTTTAGGCACTACTCAAAACTTAAATATGCTAACAACTACATCAGATAAACATGTTTTGTGAAACTGCTTCCAAATTTGTCTATTCCCAAGATATATCAATCATTAGGCCTTCTTATGAGAAAGTTGGTGAAGAAAGGCCCAAATAAAGTATTCTACAAGCACATTTTAAATATCAATCAATACCTGTACAGCCTAAAGTAAAAGCTCTGGAGTTTTTCTCAACAAAAATAAGTTTTCAGTTATCTTTTTTGTCTAAGAAATCTTCATCAACATTTTCTGGGTAGACTTTGCTATCTGAACGCACTCTTGTAAACTTAATGTCTTTTGGTAATGAAAACACGTGGCTAGCTTGGAGTTCTAAGTATGTAGTAAACAATCTGGCATATTCTGGATTCTTCATAGCAAAACTTTTAAATTCTGAATAGGAAATGTGATTTGAATTTTCTTTGGCTATTTCCTTAAAGAGACTTGAAACTTCAAGGTTTCTAACGCCAAGAGAGGCCTGTAGAATGCGGGCAAACTCTATCTCTGTTACGTAGCCATCCTCATCAGTGTCAAAGAGCTTAAAAGCCATTTGGATAAGATCTTCTGTGTTGGCAGGGTTGCACAGGACAGAAAGCCCAATCACATATTCTCTAAAGTCTATGGTACCATCATGGTTCCGGTCAAAGAGCCCAAAGAGTTGCTTCAGCGTATCAGTAATCGGAAGCATTAAATATTTGGCAAACTCTTCGATTCCGATCCTGCCTCCTTTTGAGGAAGTTGCAATCGTTGCATATTCATCCAAACGTTTTTTGACAGTATCCCAATCCAAATTCAACTTCTGGCTAATTTTGGTAAATTCCACCAACCCGGCTTCCATTGGCAAGGTCAGCTTTCCTGCCGAAATCATCAATCTGCAGTCTTCATAAGTATGATCTGTGACGGGCAGTTGTAGGGCATTGGCCATGACATTCCGTACTCTTCTGGCATAAAGGGAAGGATCATTTTTCTCTTCATCGTCAGGAATGTAAACGGGCATGAACTCTAGTTCCATGTTTGTGAAAGGCTGCGTGAGGGTTAACAGGAACAGCTGGAGGGCCGAACTGCCCTGCCACGTCCAGGTCACCGTGTCCAGCTTGTTGGGGTACCGGAGTAGCACCGGCTGTACTGGGACTCCAGGAACGAAGGCTCCTGGTTTGAAAGTAATTAGGCACGAGCGGTTGGTGCAGGTGGCTTCGGGGAAAATCAGGATCTGCGGCCAATACCCTATGGAGGTGACGCGCTTCTTAATTTCGTTCACCGTGTTCTTCCTGGAATCTGGGTCGCTGCGGGACACGAGCACGGGCTGCCCAGCCAGCAGCAGCCTGCCAACTAACGGGACTTTGGCGTTCTCTTCCCGCGACACAACGGACGGCAAGCCGGCGACGACCCAGACGATGCTGTCGAAGAAGGTGGAGTGCGGGGCGGCCACGAAGATGGGCGCCTCGTGCGGGCTGGCCCGCACCCCCTTCACCTTCACCAGGAAGCCCATAAAGAAGAAGAAGATGCGGCCCAGCACCTGCAGCAGCGGGCTGGTGAGCCGCCGCCTCCACGACTTCACGGGCCGGGTCAGCTTCGTTGGGTAGAAGGCGGTGGCCACGATGACCAACGGCCAGGAGAAGAGGAGCAGCAGGAGCAGGACGACGAAGCGCACGGGCAGCAGGACCAGGCCGCCCAGGGAGATGTAGAGCCAGTGGGACGCGCTCAGATGCCTCTCCTTCACGAAGGGATTCTCCACGGGCGGCGGGAACAGCGACTGTTCGCGAAGGGAGCGTGGGCTCTGGGGCCGCTGCTCCAAGGGCATCTGCCACAGCCCCTTCTCCAGCTGCACCTGCGACGAGGCCTCCTCTTGGCTTAAGCTCATGGCTTAGCCAGGAAAGGCCAACTCCAAGGGACCACACACACATGCCACCGTGGTGCAGCCAGCCCAACGCCTGCTGTGCGCCCGCCCGGTGCACTGCGTACTGCCCCAAACCTGCCTGCCCGCATCTGCGCAGGCGCCGCCCCGCCGGCCACGCCCCCTCTGCCGAGAGACTGCCCCTTCTACTGAGACCGCCCTCTTCTCCAGAGCCACCCAGCTTT